TCGAATTCCACTCGAGACATGAATATCTGTGTGCATTTATTCTGTGTTTGTGTTGTTCTGTGTGTAGGTGGCAGCCTTGCGACGGGCTGATCCCCCGTCCAAGGAGCCCTACTGACTGTCTAAGATTAAGAAACTCAAGTAAAAAGAGGCGGATCACAGATTCCCTATGCTCAGATAGATAGATAGGCAGACAGGCAGATAGATAGATAGATAGATAGATAGAGAGTCGAAATAGCTTAGTCAGTATACTCACGCTTTACGGGCTGGAAGGCCAGAGTTAGATTCCCGGCAGGGTTAAAATTTTTCTCATTCCACAGCGTCCTGACGAGTTCTAGGGCCCTACCAGCCTCCTATGCAATGGATACGTGGGGCTATATCCCTGGGGGTAGCTGACCATTCGCCTCCGTCAGGAATGATGGAACAATATCTCCACTCCCTCTTACACCTCCATGGCGCAATGCTAGATTAATTAAGCACAGGGACAACTTTACCTTTTGTACCTTCAGGTCATGTAAGAAAGGCCTCGTTAATGTGTATCTGTGGCTCCTACAGAGTCATAGCATGTTGCCTGCAGAAGGGACATTCTCTGATACTAGTAGCTTCAGATGCTGACATTATTATAACGCACACCTCTTCAGCCTAGCATGATGCAACCCAACTGTCACAGATGTCATGCACGGTTTCCTACATGGACTGACACTTGGGTAGCAGGAATTTGTAATGAAAACAAGACAGGCGAAGTAGATGTAGTGAAAGCGCATGCCAGGAACTTCGCCAGAGGCCAGGCCAAACGGTTAGTAGCTGGCTTCCCACTGCGGCGGCCCGGGTTCGAGCCCGGGTCTGGTCAAGTGGGATTTGTGGTGGACAAAGTGGCGCTGGGGCAGGTTTCCTCCGAGTACTTCGGTTTCCCCTGCCAATTTTCATTACACCAAATGATCCTTCATAATAATCAACCGGGGCAGATACAATAGGCCAATCAGTGGCCGATGTGCCGAGTGGACCGAGTTGGACTCCACGCCCCACTAAGCGAATTAGAAAAAAAAAGTCGCCAGAAGTGACCTCAATTTTAACAAATATATTTTTATTTTACGATATTTATTGTTATTTACGAGTATTTTTTAAAACTGGCGCAAAATTAGTATGCAATGAATGTAGGATTTGAGGTTATCACAGTGGTAGTTATGAAGAATTTGTCTTCTGGGATATGACGTCGTATGGTTGGTTGAAAGTCAACTGACGTTTCGGAGGAACATCAATGTTACAGGGATATCTTTATTTTTTATCATAGAAACTAATTTTACTTGCTGCATATATAAGATATGCAAAAATTGGTTTTGTCTCTGCAGGGGAATAACACTCATTAAAATTTCAGAGCCGAAGTTAATATAAATATTACTTAAAAATTCGGTCTTAAATTTTACTGATTTAGCTACCAGAGTTCGTACAAGAATTGAAAGGACATATGTATTTTAGGAACAAGCAACATATATAAAATTAAAGAAAATATATTCAGTAAAAAAACAGTAGGTAGGGTTAACTAATTTAAATAAATATTACATGAAAATTATTAAATATCATGTCATATTATATTACATATAAATGATTAAATATATTATTAATATATAAAATGAAAGACAACATATACAGTTAAAAAACGTATATCTTGTGTGTGGCTGCAACAACCTGCTCACACTGGTTCCTCGTTCGCGGATTTTTATATCCTGAAGATAGAGTCGATACGTTCCTCCGAAACGTCAGTTTATACAATATCTACACGGCGCCACATCCTACAAGACGGTATTCTTCAACCTTACCTTTATTTTCAGTAACAAACATCATACAATGAGCTTGGAAAACATTGGACTTTGCATGGAGACCTTTCAAAGATTGTACGAAAACTTGATGTGAATAAACAAAACTCGAGACGTTACGGAGCAACGGCGGAGTTAACTAGTGATGTAGACGCTGCCCTTACGGCCGCAGTGTGTGTGTACAATTGGCCAGGTCCCCGATGACACAGGACGAGAGTGTACTCAGTAAAGTGGTGTGCAATTCTGAGAGGATGGGTCCCTGCAAGGGAGGAATAGGAAGGAAAAGGGTGGGATGCAAAGCACAGGGAAGAGTAAAGCAGAACTAAGGGGTGATATTGGGGAGAACTCTGAGAGGGGTGGTAGTAGTAGTAGATCCATGATGAGGTATATAGCTTACGTGAAGTTGAAGGAGGGATGAATTTTCTTTTTAAGCGGGTAAGAAGAAGAATCGAGCAACGCGACGCCTCCCCCCCACCACTCCACCGCGGCCGACATTTCACTCGGTCGTCGCCGTTTCGCTCGTTTGGGTTTCTAGAACCACAAAATGGCGGTCTACTTGTCTGCCTCTAACGCCGATGCGAGTGTGTGGCTGCTTGAAGGCGAGAACACTCCGAGAGAGTTGAGTTCTTACAGATTTCCTACCCATCTCTGCTACCACATGTTTCAGGGTTCAGTGAATTGTCGTTTTGCCCGCTACAGTGCATCAGAAGAACGTGTAATGTGGAGGTCAATGCGTGTCCGAATTGCAATACGTTCCATTTTTAAAAATTATTGGAATGATTTCGAGTAAATTTGGCATTTGGTGTCAACAGTGAAAATTGTTACCTTAACTCAATAGTTATCCTAGTAGCAGACCGCGGAGGGACATAGGGTTGTGAGACGTCTAGATTCTCACATTTTTATTGACAGTCGGCTAACAGTTAGGGGTAAGTTTGTCAGCCATAAGCGCCTGACGCCTACCTCAGGAGATAAGGAGTAGCTCTATCGAACTGGGCCCTATGAGTAGGTTTCACCCGAAGACGAAGACAGATCCAGTCTCCGAAACGTTGTGTTTTGAAAAATAATTTTATAATCTAACGAGAAGTAAATCATGTCCTGAGATAAATTACTGTAAATTCACGATCCGAAATGGGGAGATCCCTGAGTGCCACATACAGCACTGCTACAAGGTCTGTAACAATGTTATTTTTATTATTTTTCAGAACAACAAACTCCCATCAAGTTAACATATTTGTAATCAAAGTACAAGAATAGTTTGTATGCCCTTTCGAAATGTGGCTTTCCCCAGGGTACAGTACTTTCTGTACAAATGTTCTCTTGGGGACAGAACTACCCCTTGTATGTTCAGTTGAAAGCACCCCCTCCTGACACCTCGGTCACATGTAACATCTGTGATCGCGCCCTTTTCTGCTGAAGTCGCTTTTAATAAACTTAATCACTTCCAATTCTCCTGCAGATTTACCCGCTGATGTAGCTTAATGGACTGGTGTCTTGGGGGTTGTAGATGTACCAGGCTTCAACAAAGAAATGAAAATACATCCAGCTCGTAGGGCAGACACTAATTAAAATTTTAGATGTGTTGCTTCGGCATTGACATTTTTCATGTTACGGAAGGGAGTTCTCCCTCAGGCACTCTGATTACTTCTCTGTTTATAATATGTGTCTGGGATTACCAGCAACAGAAGCCAGGATAGGTTGGAAGATGACCGACCCGGGAATCAAGGTTTGATTTACGTCCCATTTCAGTGTTTACACCGGCCCTGCAACCCATGCAACCTTCTATCTATAGAATGCCGGTTATATTTCCAACAGAGGTGAAGACGCCGAAGGGTAAAGCTGACCAATCACCTCAGTCAGAACGCGTGGAGGTGTATCTCCATATTCACACACTACTTCAGAACAGAGGGGCTTGTTTTTATTAATAGAAGTTCTTGAAATAGGGTACGTGGAGACTGGCTGAAAGAATTAAAATTCAGATTCTGAAAGAAATGTGAAGGTTGCCGTATTCTGGTTCATTTTTAAAACACTAAATATAAAAATACATCATTTATTGTTGTTGGTATGATTATACGACTTGGTATCAAGCACTGAGAGACGGAACTAGGTTAGAAGTAATTTACTTGAAAACGAATATATAATGATTATAATCAATCACTGATTAGTGTCTTTTTACCTGCGTAGGGTGTATAGATAATTATGTTATGATGATTCGAATAACAAATTAGGAAATATGACACTATTTAAAGAAAAAGTAATTAATGTACCATCAGTTTCCTGGAGGGATCGGTAAAAACATAACATAAAAGCATCAGTAAGGATATCAGATATCCGGTTTGATATTAGAACCCGTGACTTTCAGGATATTCATTCGATCATTCATGATGACAATGTATGACAGGAATGAAAGCAATATTTACATGGTACTCTCAGTACAGAACGCAAGACAGGGTCCTGTTATTTTGCGACCATCTCATTGTGCTGTAACTTACATCCCCTGTTACTTTGCCTCGTCTCATGTCATAAGCCATGACTTGCAGCAAAGTAATAAAGGCGAGGGTCTCTAGGAACAGTCCTGTTACTTTCAGAAAAGCCGCGCCAGAGCTCAAGCGGTTAGTCGCGGGCCTCCCACCGCCGCGGCCCAGGTTCGACCTTGGATCTGGTCAAGTGGGATTTGTGGTGGACAAAGTAGAGCAGGTTATCTCCGAGAACTCCGGTTTCCCCTGCCAATCTTCATTCCACCAATTGCTCCACAATCACCCTCACCTATCATTTGGTGCTGGTACATTAGGCCAGAAATGGCCGCAGTACAAGGGACTTAGTCCCACCCTACTAGCGATAAAAATATTTTCTGATCAATACTTGAGTACATATTAATAATTTAGTTACGCCCTCTTTATATACTTCAGACTTCTCTTAGACAACTAGGGCACTAGGTAGCGTAGTTGATCGAGGGTTTGATTCCAAATCAGGTAATTTAATTTCTCAATTGACCTAATCCTTCCAGCCGCACTATGGCCCTGGTTTCAACTCAGCCTCTAACAGAAATGAGTACTAGGAATCTTCCTGTTGCGTAAAGGGTGGCCGGTGCGTAAGGCTGACAACCTTACCGCCATCTGTCAACCGATGGTCTAGAAAATATGGGACCCTCGACGTCTGTTACAGGGATAGCTTTACCGTTAGGAAACTCACCGGTTTATTGACGAGACGCTAGGGACGTTGTCTTGCGAACAAATTCCTTCAGCCAGCAGTCGATCCCGGATCTCCCATGCGAACATGGTGGGGTTCTCACGCTTGTAGTTGGCAATAGCGTCCACTACAAGAGGAGTCGCTACTTTAGGTTTGCTTCCGCCGATGACGCCCGCCTTGAAACTCCCCGTCTCGTAATATCTGCAATTCAAAAACATCAGAAAAAAATGTTTTATGTCAAATTTGGTTATTCCACTCAACAAAACAATAATAACTCAATTCAGTGCTGAGCTCAACAGCCAGTGGTCAATTAGAGCAATAATTCAATTTAATTCAATTCTTTATTATTTATGTGCCGAGTCAACGGCCGCAAGGCCGGTCACGGTAGCCGAGCGGTCTAAGGCATGAACTGTCTTCGCTCGCTCGGAAACCGGGATCGTGGGTTTGGATCTGTTTCCTGTGAGGTACAAACTGAATTCTTATATATTATTCTTATACACTGCCGGTCACGGTAGCCGAGCGGTCTAAGGCATGTACTGTCATCGCTCGCTTGGAAACCGGGATGGTGGGTTCGGATCCCACTCAGGGCATGAATGTTTATTTTGTGTGTGTGCGTTTTTCTGTGTTTGTGTACAGGTAGAGGCCTTGCGATGAGCTGATCACCCGCCCAAGGAGTCCTAAAGTATGTCTAAGACCTAGTAAAACCGAAATGAACGGAGAATTTCATGGAGGTAGGCCTAGGCCAACTGGGGCTGAGCGCCAATGAAAAAAACAACCGCAAGGACAATTACAGACAGAGCACAGGGTAGATACAAGTAATTATATTATGGACAAACACAACTTAAAGTCAATGACATATCACAGGCAAGCACTGGAGGAAAACACAATAATGCAGTAAACAAATTATAATAACAGCAATAATAATAATTCCATTAACATAAATCTAAGTGTTAATGAGAACTGAGAAACGAAACATATAAATATTTAATTGAGAAATGAAAAGTATATATTTTCAGGGAGGATAGTAATAATAATAATTCAGTTTAATTGTTGTTTATTGCACATGCAAATAATAATAATAACAATTACACTATATTTAAAAAAACGTTTGGGGAGAACTTTTCTGGCTCCGAGTACGTCAACGTCCTTGCAAACAACATTAGCAGTTGATGCACATCTAACAGAGGGACAGTTTTTAGATGAGGAGCAAATATTGAACAATGCAAAGTCTCTGATATACTGAGCAGGAACTCGGAGACCAACAATTTCCAGAACATAATAATAATAATAATAATAATAATAATAATAATAATTCAGTTCAGTTCCTTCGCTTGCCAACAGCGAAAGGCCTATAACATGTGAGCACTGAAAGTGTACGTAACAAAAGCTAGGCCGTTTCTGGGCAACAGCTCGGTAAACAAGTTCCCGCAGCGCACGAACGCAACAATAGAAGAGCTGTGATTTCTATGTGGTCCGTGTCGGGATGTTGTAAGCAAGGTAAAACGTACGAGGGTAGTCAGTTCTGTACGGGAGTCTGTGAAGAAAGTACTTGAGTCTGAGGTAAAGGGATAGCAATTATTGGAGCCGTTATCAGGAAACGTCTAATAACAGACTAAGAACACTAGACTGTGTGCTCTAGTGAACTTTAATGTGTGGAAATAGCAACAGTGTTATAGTTGTTTGTTGTTATGACCCCTAAAAAATGGTCAATAAATACAATATCAAATATAAAAACCCGTGGATAGTTACTACGAACATTTTGGAGTAAACAGATGCCTCAGTCTTGAGATCAGAGGACCGGAATCTTAACATTTATCGCTGGAGGAATCTAAAATCGCCTACTTTTCTATTCTGAAGATGAACGCAGTGAGTCCTCTCGAAACATTGGAGGGTATCTACCAATTTACATGGCGACATGTCTCACATAATTGTAATTTTAATATTCAATTTGTATGAATTTAAAATCTTACAACAAATCTATTTTAACATTAGACTAATAAGGAGCATACCATCTAATTGATTTCATGTGGGATTACCATATTCTCGTCCATCTTGTTAAGAGTAGGTCTCAGTGATGTTTCTGACAAAAATGTTCATTAAAAATTGAAGCTATACAGAGTTTTCCAGAAGGAAAGGTCAATATTCTGGGAGGTCATAGTACCGGTCATTCTAAGCAAGAAAGTGTATAATTGCATGAATCCCCTTCCGAACGGTTTCCGAGATAGAGCTATTTCACTATACAGTTCACTGTACACTGTCCAGACGAGCAACACGCCATGTCCTCACACCAGTTGCACCGAGATAGAGCTATTTCACTGTACAGTACACTGTACACTGTACAGACGAGCAACACGCCATGTCCTCACACGAGTTGCACCGAGATAGAGCTATTTCACTGCACAGTACACTGTACACTGTACAGACGAGCAACACGCCATGTCCTCACACGAGTTGCACCGAGACAGAGCTATTTCACTGCACAGTACACTGTACACTGTACAGACTAGCAACACGCCATGTCCTCACACGAGTTGCGAAGTGCATTGGTGTTGACGGTGGAATTTTCGAAAATGTATTATACTAGGTAAACTGTACCAACTTTGTCACTTTAAACAATAAATACCGGAATTAGAAACAGGACGTAATATCTCTTTCTTATAAACAGTTTTGGAACTGTATAGTGAAATAACTATCTCGGAAACTGTTAGGAATAGGGCACATGTACATAATAATTTTTGCTTAGAATGGCCGATACTATGACCTCTCAGAATATTGACCTTCTCTACTGGGACATCCTGTATATCCAGCTTAATTCAAGTGTAACAGCATCGTGAAATAAGCCGAGAAGCATCTGAGGGTTGCTTATTTGGCCAGCTGTACATCCAGGGAGAAGGGGCTGTGCTTCCATCTGGCGATGAAGCGGCAAGACCAAAGGCAATCCTAAAGCAGCAGGAACCTGCCTAATTACCGCGCGATAACAGAGGCCACATTCATAGAAAAGAAACTCGTCACATGTGGACACGGGGGGAGGCGGGGAGGGGGAGTTCACGACTGAGACACCCGACATTTCTAATATTTCCAAATATTCACTCTACCAATAACTTTCACAGGATAGAAAGAGCAAAGAATTGGCACTACAGCCGACTGTGAACTTTCAGTTCTTGTATGGTCTACAGCTTCAGTACTACATACTTAACTAATTGTAAACAAGACAGCAAATTGACTAAAAGATTGTAGTATCTGATTATCAATAAAGGAGGTTCATTTCATTCATTCATCAGTAATCTGTCAGACGACAGGTCCACAGTCTTTTCCAAAACAGTTCCTCTTTCAAACCACTCTGGTCACGCCTGTTACTGTACGAACTTGAACCATCTCGAGCATCATTTGCTCTGTGCTTCAAGTCGCTGTTGATGACGCTGCTTCCGGCATCAGTTTTTGGTGTCTCTCTTCGTCTGATGCCTACCCTTTGACCTGTCCAGCAAGGGAGGCCTGCCAGTAGCTACGCTACCGCTGGTATAGCTCTCAAGGTCCTTGGCATACTCAGACCCCCTCACCACGATAAGGCAAGAAACAAAAAAATATTATATAACCCTGGGTATTTGATGGAGACGAGTATCTAGCTTCACGTTCCGGCCGATTTTCTTCCAGAATAGGAAGCACCGGTGACTACTTTTTCAGGATCTCGCGGCGAAGAGAAAAATGTCGACTCACACCGGGATTCGATCAACGATTCATGAAACTTACAGCCGGGAGCCTTGTCAATGTACGAAAATAGGTATTGGGTTAGTCTTAAGTAGTCAAAAAGTAAAGCTATCCCTGTAACAGGCCGTGGAGACTCATAAGATTGTGAGATATTGAGGTTCCCACATTTTCTAGACAATCGGCTCACAGATGGTGCTGAGGTTGTCAGTCTTACGCGCCGGCCGCCCTTTGCACCCCAGGAAGATTCCTGGTACTCATTTCTGTTAGAGGCTGAGTCGACCCCAGGGCCATAGTGCGGCTGGAAGGATTAGGTCAATTCAAAAATGCAACGATTTCATAGAAAAACGAACCCGGAACCTTTCGGCTTGTGGCATAGTGCCTCAACCGATATATATATATATATACTCCATTACCTTCACCACGACGAATGTTACATAACTTACAAGACAACTGAATAAACTAGTCCTATGTAAGATTTGAGGTTTTCACGACGGTGACTATGAAGAACCCCGTTGTGGGAAGTGCCCAAATTCAAGCAAGCGTGACAACGCAAGCGTCATTGCTTAGCAACGACGAGTAAATAACGGTTGCTCACTTTTGCCGTTATGGGATGTGGCGCCTTGTAGATACTTTGTATACCGACGTTTCGGAGGAACGTATCGCCTCCATCCGCGAGCGAGGATGCAGTCACCTGCTCACGCTTGTTCCTCGCTGGCGGATTTTTATATCCTGAAGATGGAGGCGATATGTTCCTCTGAAACATCGGTTTACAAAGTATCTACAAGGCGCCATATCTCAGAAGACGGCATTCTTCAATCAATTACTAACCCTAAACATTATTTTAACGATGGCTGTAAATTACTTCATTGTAACAATAACGCCGAACATGTTAAGCGAAGTCATTGCATAGCCCTGTGTCACGTGAAGCTGAAGACAACAGCTGATTGTACTAGCAGACGTTTGTTCCCAAGTTTCGGGTCTCCCCAACCCCAAGCCCCGTGTCTTGCTGTGTTTCTACTTCCGCAACATAATTAAAGTTAATGAAACGTTAAAAAACGGAGCATTAATCGTCTCTTCGAGCAGTCACACACACACACACAGACTGGTGGGTCCCGCGTTTCAGTGCAGTCTAACCTACACAGACAGGCTGGCGGCTCTCACTGAGAGAGAGTGCTTTGTAACCACAAGAAGATCCTCAGGATTATAGGGTTTTTGACTTCGTCTATCAAAAATATTATAAAGAACACGATGTTTCGGAAACTCGATCTGTTTACGTCCTCAGATGAGAGGGTGAAAGACACCTGCTCTGTTGGGTCCGTTTGAAAAAGCTGACCTCAATCACTGGATGAGTTCCCCTCGCCTTAGGAAGAATATAGATCCAGTTACCGAAACATAATGCTCTTTAGAATATCGGACAATGAACAAAGTCCAAAAATCCGGTAATTCTGATTGTTATACACCATCTCCAGGGCCCATAGGATCTACGTATAAGAAGA